TATTAATTGCCCATAGCAAAGTCTATCTCTTATACACATCTAGATGTGTATAAGAGACAGGCCCTATCACAGTAAAATAATTAATAAAATCATTCTCAACGGTCATGAACATCATTCTTAATACCGTACTGTATCCCAGCAGAGGACCCACATCCACTCACATTCGAAATTTTTTTTGGAATTAGTAGACTGCTGGACGATCTTAGGTGGCCGCCCTGAAAAAAAATTAGGCATTAAATAGAAAGTGTACACGAAGAGCACACACGCAAGACGAGTGACCATAATTTTGTTCACACAGTAAACGAAGGGGGTGGGTAGCCACCCTATTAATCCCCTCCCCCCTCACCACCACCCTCCAGATCCGCCACTGATTAACAGACGAGTGCTGGAAAGCAGATCTGAGCATCTAGAAAAACAAATAATAATCAGTCCACAAAAAAAAAGAGACAGGAGACAAATAAACCAGGGTATTATCTGCCACAACATTTAGTCTGCTTTATCAAGGCCTTCGCCCTGCACCCCCGAATACAGAACCTTTCTGTATCCACTCGCCCCAACCATGACTACTGGGTTAGTTTACCCAGGGTTGTCCACCACCTACAATAACTTAACCTGACGTTGAAATACTGTAGAGGGCAGCAACCATAAAAGTGGTCGATCATATTTTTTTTTGTACAAGGTTATGTCGAAAGTCAATTTACCTTCGCGAAAATGGTATCGCCCAGGCTATTCTTTTGCATTAACGATTTTGCAATGTCTGGCTGCTTTTGCAAAGCGTAGCTGACCTCGCCTCGCTGCCGGTCTGCAGCAGGATGCAATTGGTTTTACCTAGCAGGAAAGTCTAATGCGAACAGCGCGAGTCGGGTAAACTTCCCAAGTCATCACAGTGAATGACCTTCCTCAGGCTGTCAGGCAATTACGCATGAGCTGTGACCTGGAATAAAACGTCATACACAAACATCTTGATTAATTTCGCGCGTGTTTGCTAGTGTCTTGATTTTGAGTAATTTTGTCATTTTTTTTCACTTGTTTACTCGGTTTGTTTCAATGGCCGATTTATATGGAGCATTAATAAATGTGCTAGGTCTTGGTGAGACAATCCATCGCGATTATCAACAAATACAACATGATGTGGGCCTAGTCCAAAGAAACACTGTCACAACAAGAAGGAGAACCCGGCGGTTTAGCTTGTTACGATCTGTCGTACGTGAGCGTCAACGTAGGCAATCTGAGGCAATCTTGAATATAGCAGTTCTTAATTACTGGGCTTCGTGAATTTTAGCGCCCCCAATAGTTGAATCTGTACGAATGGTTAGTTTCACCATGGCCTGTGGTAAAACTAACCACGTCGATAAATCCCAGTGCGAACGACAGGAAGTTTACCCATTGGAATGTTACCCACAGTCTCGGTAAAAATTTCCCTATTTTAAATCCAGTGCGATTGCGGCTTTATACTGCTTAAGCGGACGTAATATGAGCACCAATCTATTCCCGCCTTATTATTGTTAGCCTAATTACTGTCGCTGTAAAGGAAATTAAGTTTCACCAAACCTTCCCATCGTGTTCGCTGTTTCTCGCTGTAAAATGACTTGTGATTTTTTTCAACGTAAATTAGCTTTTACATACTTTTTACTGATTGTTTATGCTAGATAATTAAGCTGTGAAGTTGAGCATAAGGTACATGCTCAATAGTATAAGCTTTAGTTACTTTATTTTTTTAATGAATACATAGACATATTTAATAATTGTTTACCCCGGGAGAAAGTGTTGCAAATTTGTGTCCCATAGGCTCTGATTATCCAGACCACAAAATACTAAAATTCGCAGGGAACTAAAATTCGTGCTACACCTGTCCGGCGTTTATTTTAACAACTGCAGTGTTATTTAGTGTAATTTCACTGTTCCCTGTTCTATACGATCGAGACTCATCAACAGATAC